TTTTTTTTTTTTTTTTTTTTTTTTGTTTGGGGGTGGGGGTTGATTCGAAGTGAGAGCTTCATCTCAATTTGTGAATCTCGAAAAGGTGTTCTAAACCTGTTCAATGAACCTAACTGGTGATTTTTTTTGCCCCTTTCACAGAAATATCACTTGAATCATCATTTTCGTATCCAGAACAAAGGTTTTGGCATTACCTCCTCTTTCTGGGACAAGGTGTTTGGAACGCTACCACATTCAAAATCAGCCAAGAACAGATGATTCCCGTCGCGGGGGAGAACTAGTTACAGCTCTAAGTGCTATTTATTAGAAGGGGTTAGAATTTGATTATTTGAAATCTGGTTCCATTTTTTCATCTATAATTATATTCATGTCACAGTTTAATCGACAAATTGGCATCTCAGCCTTATGACAACTTGTGTAAGGGTTACTAACCTTGCTGCAAAACATTGTGCTCATCAGTCCATCTAGGCTGTATTTATCTTCATCATTAGGCTGTATGTTGACCAATTATTGTATCTTGTACGAGTTTGGCAATTGGAACGATCTGGTTAATGCATAGCAAATTTTTTCCCGGTGAACTGACTTGACTGACCTGATTTTTAAACTACAACATTGGCTTATTTTAAAAGGTATCACTATTTGTGTCAGCAGTTGCATCTAATGGCAATGCGCGTAATCATGCAAGGATGAAACCTCCTATTATATGGAAGAGGTATCTATGCAGCTATCCATAGTGAATTAAGTGAAGGAGATGGAGTCATTCATTAGTCAACCTGCATAAGCAAATATCCCTCTAATTCTTCGAAATCTATTCGAATATTTTTGGTACTGTAGTTTGGAAGAGATTATGCATGATGTGTTTCTGGAATTAGCAGTAATGGGAGACGTACGCTGACTATATGGCATTATTTTTTGTTGTCCTTTGAGTAAGTTGAGTGGAGGTTTGAGAACCATATTATACCCTGTTTGGCCAAGCTTCTAAAATCTGCTTATTTTGATAAGTGTTTTTTCAAAAGTGCTTTTCAAAAAAGTATTTTTGGTGAGAATCAGTTTGTGTTTGGCCAAACTTTAGAAAACTGCTTTTAAGTGTATTTTTCTTAAAAGTGCTTTTCAGAAAAGTGCTTATGGAGAGAAGTTATATTGTTTTTGCTTCTCAAAAAACTGCTTCTGCTTTTTCTTAAAAATACTTTTTTTTCCTTCTAAAAGCTTGGCCAAACACCTCAATTTTTGGCCAAAAGCACTTTTGGTAAAAAAAAAAATAGCTTGGCCAAACAAGCTGTTAGTCATGGTATACAACATTACCAAATTATAGTGAAATTTGCACAATTCATTTTCCCCTTGTTGATTACTGCTATATGCAATAGTGTACGCGGTGAAGAACAGCAACTCAGCGTCCTTGACTCCCAACATTCTTCACATGAAACATCTGCATTTAGAGAGCCCCACTCTCTATAAGTGTGCCTTTTTTACTTTTTTGCATTACACTGGGGAATCTTGAGTGCAGTATCTTTTTTCTTTATAATAGTAAGTATTAAGCTTGTGTATCATGAGACCTAATATTGATTCTTACCTAACCACCTGTCTCCAACTCTCCTCTCCCCAATCACAATCTTGCAATTGCCACATGAGAAAAGAACACAAATAAACAAAGACTATGAAAGCCAAAATTATTGTGGCTACATAAAGTTGTAGATACTTTGAAAAGAAAAAGAGTAAAGGAAAGGCACCATAGTAGAACCTTGTCCCCCTTTAATAATAGTGTTTCTACTTTCTCCTTCACGACACCTTCCTCCACTAATCTAAAACTTAAACATACGGTTTTGAAACACTTTTTTGATTTATTTAAATCATCCTCTCCTTCTCTGCTACTTCCCAAGCCTCTTATTCTTTATTTTCAAATAGATACCCCTGACCAGACATAAGTTCTCTCCATCTATATTATTGTCCAAGATCATGACATGTCCCAACAGTCTAAAACTATAAAGTCTCGACCTTTGTAATGTTCTTGCATCTTGTCTCAACTTTTTATTGGATTCTTGCTCTGGATTTCCCCCATCAAAATTCCTCAGATACTAATAAAACTTAAGAAAATAAAGATCTTTTTTGTTGAATTGGAGTTTGCAAGCATGTCTTTTCCATGGAAGAAGGTGAAGAAGACAAGTATATGTCAATTGGTGAAGGACCATATTCGTTTTCACAGGAATGGTGGATCTCCTCTTATAGTAGAGACTGGTTTCCCCACTTCCCTTGTCGATCTTTTTTTCAAGAATCGCCAAAGGTTCATAAAACCTTCCAAGAAAAAGGTGGCTAAGCCCACTTTGAGCTCTCCTTCTTCTCTGAATTTGCATTTGCCTTTTCCTATGACTCCAACTTCACCAGCCACTTACACAATTAATAAGGGGTCTCAGTTAAAGGATGAAAGATTTGATCTTGATGAAGATATCGATACGAATAGGCTGTTAATATCCCTTCTGAAGATCTTTCTGGTGGTGGTTTTAGTTTTAGGAGCAAAGAACCTTTTAATGGGGATAACAATGTCAGCTTTCTTGTTGTTTTTCTTGGAATATTCAGGGGAATGTTTGTATAGATGGCTCATGCCTTGTGCAGGAGCAAAAAGGAGGATTCTTTTAATGGTTTGCAGATTTATTGGAGGCAAAATGGTTGAGTTAGAAAAAGATGAATGTGTTTTTAAAGCACCATCACTAAAAGAAGAGTTGGCTAATCAATGTATTAAGGAGAAAACTGATGAGTCTAATTGGGATAGCAAATTGAAATGTGAAGGAATGGACTCAAAGGGAAAAGAAGAGGAATTGAGGAGTGAGTTGTTGGAATCCAGGAAAAAGAAATCTCATAAATCCAATATGAAATCCAAGATGAAGAAATTTCTTTCAAACAAGTTCAGAAAGAAAATAAGTTCAATGATTGTCAAGTGAAAGTAAACAAGTTTTGCTCAAAAATCTAGCCAGAATAGTTCAACTTATTCCAAGAAAGCTGTGAATTGCAAATATTTAGATAGTATAGTTTGCTTCTTATGAAGTGCTGATTAAGCCTTGGTAGAATGCTCAACATTTGGTTAACCACTTAGCTTAGAGGTTTTGTATTGTATCTGTAAAATCTCTGATACATACAAGATTAACTTTGTTATACAGATCTTACTGATTCATATATTGCCTTGCCTTGGCAAATAATTCACCCTGTTTCTTTTTGAAAACCTTGGACTTACTGATAATTTATCAAACCTTTTGTATTTTTACAAATGTATAGGGACAATTCGCAGTGAATGGCACACAATGCAATTGTTGTTTTAGGTTAACAGTATTTCCCTCGCAAGATACTCCTCTGTTTAAATTTAGACGACACACTTTACTAAATTTAGACGACACACTCTACTTATTAGTCTGTTCCAAAAAGAATGACACATTTCTACAATTGGAAAAAATTCAATTTTAATCTCTTCATTTTAGAAGTTTTTATAATCACATAAATGTCATGGCCTCACAAAACTTTTATCCCTTAAGCTTTTAAGACTACAAGTTTCTCGAGTCTTTCTCTTTTTCCGTAAACTCTATATCGAGTCAAACTAATCATCTAAATTGAAACAGAGTGACTCTTAAGCTTGTGAGCATCTTTTTCATTATTTTCTTTTAAAAAAATCTTCACTTATTACTTTAGGTATTTTAGAAAAAGAAACATTAGTTTTCATCTTGAGGTGAAAACGCCCAAGCTTCTAAAATCAGTTTTTTTTTAAAGTGCAGTTTGTTTGTGTTTGATTAATTTATTTAAAAATATACTTTTGAATAATAATTAATATTTGACCAATCTTTTGAAATGCATTTCTTTTTTTCTTTTTTTTTTCAAAAGTGATTTTCGGAGAAATTGCTTTTCCAGCTTGACTCTTTTAGTTCTAAAAGCGGGTCAAACAGCTTAACTTAACCACGTTTAAAGTCTTGAAATGTGTTTATAAATTGGTCTTAACTAGCTTTTGCAGTTTCAACTTTCAACTAGTAGTAAATTGAATTGCTTCTAAAAGTTGGTACGCCCTATTTGATAAACGAGTTCTACAATTATTATTATTCTTTTGCGTGCAATTACTTTTGCCAAAGCGGCAAAGCCCCACCTTTCCCCTCCAACTCCCAAGCGTTTGTTTGGGAATAAATAAAAGGGCAAATTTCTACATTAATTTTTTCTTTATATTCTCATAAACCCAAAACTCCATTACCCTTTAAAACCTTTTCAAATTCCCAAAACCCCATAACCTTCTTTCTCTCTTACCTTCCCCACAATCAAAATTCACAATATATGCTTGTACAAAATCACATTTGCTGTACCTCTATTGCCAGTAATAGGTACTATCTTCTTCTTACCCTTCTTGATTCTCTCTTATTTTTTGCCTATCTTGTAAAGTAAAGCTTGTGGCCCTTTTCCTTTCTTTTTTCTCTTTCTTTTTTAAAGATAAGCACTCAACCCACAAGCATACACGTATCGAATTTCTAAAACCAGCTTTACTTTTTTCTCTTGGCTTTTTTGCTGACCCAGAAACAAATTTCTTTGCTTGTAAGTTAACGGAATTCTTTTTTTATTTTCTTAGGTAAACTAATAAAGTTTTTTTTTGGTTGGGGTTTGTTATGTAGGAGTGAAAGAATGATTGTTTAATGTGTTATGCATGTAATCTGCACTTTAGAAGCAAAATTTTCATTATTCATATAACATTCCCATTATAAATGCAGTAACTTTTCTGTCGTTTAATGAACATGCTGCAGTCGAAAAGTGTAAACATGTACTGACTTCTCTAAAACCTGATTAGCTGTTGAATAAAGTATTAGCATTGGATTGAAATTGATTCATTTGTCCCGCTGGATTGTTGGCAACGGAATGATTATTCGAATCAAATTAGGAAATTGTTACTACTCAATCTGTTTCAATTTAGATGAGTTAGTTTGACTTGACACGAAGTTAGAAAAAAGAACAAGACTTACGAAACTTGTGGTCTTAAAAGTTTAAGAGTTAAAAGCTTTGTGGGGCCATGTCATTTGTGTAAAATGGGTAAAATGAAGAGTTTAAAGTTGAATTATTTTCAAATTTAGAAATGTGTCATTTATTTTGGAACAGACTAAAAAGTAAAGTACCTCATCTAATTTGAAACGGATGGAGTAATATTTATTATTGTACTATGTTCTTGGCCAGTGGCGGAGTCAGGGTTTTTAGATCATTGGTGCTCAACAAATTTTAGCCTGAAAATGCTACCGAGATTGGATGCTCAGTTAATATATTTGTATGTTTTACTAGCTTTTCTATCTAAATAATAGTGTTTGGCTCCAAATTTAGCTTTAACTTAGGTCCGCCATTGTTCTTGGCCTCACTGTGCTTTCTAATTGATGCATGATGGAAATCAGTAATGAAGTGCCTTTTCAGTGTAGGAGTTGAATTGGTCTAACTATTCAATTCTTCCGGGTAAAACTATGGAAACTGGAAGAAACCCAGCTAGCGGTCCAAAGAAATCGCCTTTCACGCCTAAGGCTATCATACATCAGAGATTTGCTGCTAAAGCTTGCTATAAGGTCGAGGAAGTTCAAGAGGTTGTACAAAATGGATGTCCTGGTTTAGTGATCCCTCAGAAAGGTCCTTGCCTCTATCGCTGTACTCTCCAACTTCCAGAATTTTCTGTAGTCTCTGAAGTCTTCAAAAGAAAGAAGGATGCTGAGCAATCTGCTGCTGAGAAGGCTATACAAAAGGTTTTGCCTTTTTCTCTGTTTTTGAGCTATTTAAATATTTGAAGGAGAAGAGTGAGGCTTTTGCCGTAGGAGCTATTTAAATATTTGAAGGAGAATAGCCTAGTACAAAAGAAAAAAAATTAAGACTCAGGTAAATTGTGTCTCAAGGAAACAACTTTTTTACTTTCCCTTTTTTGCTGATAAGTCAGGTGGTAGACTCCAACTCTTAATCATAAATCATCCACTTCACTTGAAGTTTATCTTTGCTAAGCATGCTCTTACAATGGGTGCTGCAAATGTAGTGGACAATTGATGATTTTATCTCTCTCAGCTTGTCGCATAGATCTAAAATGTCTATGAAAAGTTCATCATTACCTCATGATTGTCGTTTATCTCATGCTTTTGTGATCAGTTTTAACATATTAAGTGGACAAGTTCCAATTTTTCTCTCAGCTTGGAGCTTAGATTTTCAAATGTCGATGAAATGCTAATGCTTTAATGACTCATGGTTGTTTATCTGCAGTTAGGCATCCAGCCTAAAGAAGATAATCTCACTGTGGAGCAAGCGTGGGATGAACTGGCTGGTCGACTATCATATTTACTTTCAATTGAGGTATGTAACTGTATTGGTGTTAATGTGATGATGCAATTCTTCTTGGAGTTAGCTGCAAGATTACAAAGTTTGACTAGCCATCGAGATTGAGTGAGAACTTTGACTTATATACATGTTTGTTGCGTAAGAGAGTTTTTAATGAATTACAAAAACTTGATTGTGAAGCTGGTTATATAGGGTATTGTCACTGTTGTGAAATTTATTTTACTAAAAAACAGCAAACAGTCTACCGAATACGTCATATTTAGTAATATATCAGCTTTGGAAAACTTTTTGCACTTTAAAAGTCTTTCTGTGCTATTTGATTGTTTGTAGAGTCTGAAATATGATGTTTTTATGCTGTATTGAAATTTGCCAAAAGGTTTCATTAGAAAATAGAAAATTTCCTGTGGTTTCATCACATATTTTGAGACATGGTCTTATAAACAGTTCTACTGCCTTATCAAAAAAAATAAAATAAACAGTTCTATTGAGTTTGTGAGATATCTAATGCTCATAAAGGTTCATTCATGTTTTTTAATTTCTTGGTATTTTCATTGACTACAGCCTCAGTAGATAATAATACTGAGTTTTCTGTGTGTAGGATTAGATGATGTAAACAGATTCACTAATTGGATGTAGTTATGTAATGCATTTTTTCCTGCAGCTAATGAACTACCCGACCTATGTTATTTACGGTTCACTTTTTTGTTTCCGGTTGTTGATGAAAGTTCTTGTCTTCAATTCATCCGCTTAGTGGGCACTTCAGAGCAGCGTTGCAGAGAGGAGGTCACCTTAATGGATTTATTTCTGTAGCAGCTATTGCTGCGTTTGATGCTAAGATTAATAGCTTATGTAAATATATAAATCCTGAAGTGGAGTGGAATCAATTTTTGGTGATGTCACTTATTATTGAAGCAGCTAAGAGATTAGCGAATGCGCTTATGTTCTCTGAGGAGAAGCTTTCATTGCAGAGGCTAAATCCACACCCTCCTGAGATTATACATTCTTTACTAAAGAATGAATCTAGTCTCCCAGAGAGCATTTCAATTGAAGCAGTACGTATTCCATCTTCAGCAGAGAAGATTGTGGAACCTTCGATACTTGATGCCTCTTTTGGCAATTATTACCTGGATGCCATTGCAAAGGAACTAGGGGTTAAGGATGCTTCTAAAGTTCTGATTTCTAGGTGAGAAAGAATATATACAGAGCATTGAACTAGTACTTTGTTTGACTGGTAAAATGTTGTAAGCTTGATTTGTAGCAATCAGAAGTCGATTTTAATGCAGTATGGTAAGAAGTATATGAAGGAGCTCCTATCCAGTGATGGATGCAGCCTTTATGCTGCGAGTTCAACCCAGTATTCTCAATACAAAGTTTAAATATACATGTGAAGAATCACTAAAAGCTCAACAAATATTAAATCTGCGCATAATTTCAAAGTACAATTGTCATTGGGCTTTAGTCTAGTGGTGAGCGCAATGTGTGATGTGTAGGTTAGGTGCATGTCACGGGTTTGAAATCTGCTGCAGACAAAAGCCTGGTATTTAAGTAGAGAAGGGTAGAGAGATGGCCCCCATTACTCACCGAGTTTCAAACCGTGCACCATTGGCCCTCGGGGATTTCTCATTTGTAAAAAAAAATCAGAAGTACAAAAGAATTTAGTGCTAATAACTTTGAAGGTGTAAACCATCAAATTTAAATCCCAGATCCGCCTTTGCTTCTATCTAGAGTTTTCTGATAGGTTGTATTGTTCCTTCTTCCAAACTGGTATGATATATACGTGATGCATCCTGGTATTTATTTTTAAGCAAGACAAAATTAATCTAGTATGACCAAAGCTGACACCCTTCATCATAAACTGGTTATGGACGGGGGTTGGAAGTTAGTTAATGGCTAGTTCAATGTGAGCTGTAAGGTAGTTTTGTGGTTTATGTTGGAGAAGGCTGGATCAAATAAATAATCGCTCCCATTTTACTTGAGTATTTCCTGTATCTTTGATGATGAACATTTGTTTTCTGTTACAGGACTATTGGCAAAGCTTCCTCAGAAACGAGGTTGTACTTCTGTGCTCCAGAATCCATAACGATTGGCCCATCATCAGAGTTACATATGAAACTAGCCAGTTCATTTAGAGAATTTAATGCCATTGCGACCTACCTATCTGGTCAAGAAATATACGGTGATGCAATTTTGGCATCTGTAGGATACACCTGGAAGTCTACTGATCTTTCTTATGAAGATTTATCCTTGCGTGCATATTACAGGTATGTCCTTGGCACCATTTTTGAGTTTTTAGTCAGCGAAGTCTGGCTGAATCAAAACAGAGTCTGGCTTAATTACAACTGGATTGTCATCTAGGATAGCAGAATTATGATAGCCATTGTAGTAAGTTTCCCCCCTGAGATTTGGGTGTGGTGGGCTAAATAATGGAGACAGTGAATTTGCATGATGAGTTTAGGGTGCCGGCACTCAGGACGTGAAGTCACGTGTTGTACTTCAGGAATTTCTTTTCTTTTTTATTTTTGTTTTTCCTTTTGATTTCTTTATTTAACTGTGACACTCAGTTGCTATCATCGATTTGCATAATATTTTTCTTTTCTTCTTTTTTATTTCACTCATAATAGCGGGGTTCATTTTCTTTTCTCTCTTTTTCCTCTCAAGAATACTTGCCAACAAGATACCTAGCGGAATTTACAAGTTGTCAAGAGAAGCAATACTTGCTGCAGAGCTGCCCACAACATTCACAACAAGGAGCAATTGGAGGGGTTCTTTTCCCAGAGATATTCTCTGCACATTTTGCCGCCAGCATCGATTATCTGAACCTGTCTTTTCAAGCGATTCCTTTGAACCTCTGCCAGATTTACCTGGACGTAAAAGATTGAGGGATACAGCATCAAGTGGAGACGAAATTAATGAAGGTGGTCTTGCTGCTACTGCTACTGCTACTGCTACTGCTGTTGCACAAGGAGGGTGTACTCTAGTCTATAGATGTACAGTGAAGATATACTCCAAGTGCCAGGATTTGATTCTGCTGTGTTCACCAAAGGAATCTTACAAGAAACAGACTGATGCAATTCATAATGCTGCTTTAAAAGTTCTCTTATGGTTGGATAGATTTCTTGATAAAGTTGATATGTCTGTGGAGGAGATGACATCATCTGCAAAGGGACTTGAAGTTCTTATTTATCCTCAACAGTTTGTTAAGGAGTTCTCATCATGTCAATTCTTGCCCAAATATCGGTGGAGCAGTGCAACACTAGCAGACAGCTCTCTGTGTTCTAGCTTCTCTAATGTACAGAAGAACACGCTTGAAGACGAAGTAGCATCTGTTAGGATAAGTGGTGAATATTCTGGAACGACTCCATCTAATGGTTCTTTGGTGTGTGTGACTTACAACATATATTTAGTCACGGAAAGGGAAGGCATTAAGGAACAGCTTGAAGGGTCTGAAGAGTTTGAGTTTGAGATTGGCAGTGGAGCCACATCACCTGTTCTTGAAGCAGTTGTAACACAGATGTCCATTGATCAGTCTGCATGTTTTACTATGGAATTGCCTTCCAAAGAGATTGTTCTAGCAGTGGCTCGTGATTCTACAACTGTCCTTTCATTATTGTCTTCAGGTAAGTAAGGCAGTTGTTTCCTTTTGTTCTGATTTTTTTTTGGCTCTATTTGTGTTGATTTCCATTTTAGAACATGCTTTCCGAAGGACATTTGTCGTGTCCAACCCATGAAAAATTTCTGTTGTCTTCCGATAATCTAGAGTTTCCTCTCCTCTCTGGAGACAGGTACTTGTACAATGAAATGTGAAGTCACCTTGCTGCGGGTGACAGTACCCCTGGAGGATAGAATGGAGCAGGCCTTATTCTCTCCCCCATTATCAAAACAACGTGTTGAATATGCATTGCAACACATTAGAGAATCTTGTGCTGCCTCTTTGGTATAGGCCTTTTCAAATGATTTTGCTGTCTTTTTAGATGATAAAAAGACTTGATTCTGATCTTTATTCCATCACAGGTTGATTTTGGATGTGGTTCTGGAAGTCTCCTGGAGTCTTTATTAGCTTATCAAACTTCTCTTGAGAAAATAGTAGGCGTTGATATTTCACAGAAAGCTCTTGCTCGTGCTGCCAAGGTCTGATGCACTCACAGCCCTCTTACACGGCTTTTCAACTTTCACAATCTCTCTCTCTAATTGTCCTGCAGTTTATTCTTTTCTTTCTACTGCATTTCTTTTTCTTAGTAATGATAATAAGAGCTTGTGTATTCTCTAACTTAACTATGTAAGGTGAAAACTGAACTGTAATTCGAGCGGGTGAGAAAAATCAGGATCTGCAATGGTCATCTTATGCCAATCCAATATTTAGATATTATCCTGCATTGTCAGCTAGATCTAGTTTTGCCTATGCTTTCAGTGCGACATTGTCCATCTTATAGGTAATGACAATATTTTCGGATTGCGAAAGCTAGAGAGATGTTTCCTTATTCAGGAAAAAATTTAACATTCCAGATCAGAGTAATCTATTTTTTTAAACTCTCTAGTTTTATTATCATTTGTTAGATAAATAAATTGGATAAAATAGGTTCTTCATATTAGCTTGACATGACTGAAATGAGAATGTAATTGCATTAAATGTAAATACAGTAAAAGAAAGAAAAAAGGCCGATAAACAAAGAGATATGAGTAATAGCTGAAGTAGCTCCAGCACCCAAAAAAGATAAAAATAAAAATAAAAATAGAAAAAGAGAAAGAAAGATGATCCAGATGGTTATATGCCCATTTGAAGGTTTAAGATTTACTAATTGGGAAGACTAATAGTATAATCATTACTTGGGAAGTAAAGGAAATTCATAAATGATTCCAAAAAAAAATGTTAATTGAATACATAACAAATATGATTTTCTGATTATGATTGTTGGAGTGAAGCTAATTTGAGTTCAGATGACTATTTGAAGGTTACTAAAAAAAAGGTAATCACATGTACTCCATATAAGATACTAGGACAGAGAAATGTTAAGGTCCTTTTACCCATCACAAGTAGTTGTACAACTTATATCCATGATATATGTTTTCTATCTCCTTATTCTAGCATCAGAAACTCCAAAGTAGATACCATTCAGTCAGTGGTGGTATAGGATTCTAGAATTGGGAAGTATGGTATTGGACTATCATGAGAAAATGAAATAGCTTTTGGTGGACCTTTTTCTCAAAAAAAAGAAAAAGAAAAAAAAGTTTCTGGTGAAAAAGAAGAAACTTTTTCTCCTTTCTCGCTTTATTTGTGGAAGCAAGCAACTTTGAAGCTTCAAGAATATAACAACATGAGCTTTTTATTAAACATTCAGAACTAGTAAACTAATGAGGTCAAATATGTTAGTTCAAGATGCTAAGAAATTTCTGATTAGCATAGTTTACTTTTTCTTTCTGTTGCATTGACGGAGCATAGTTCTAAACATTTAATGTTTGCCACGTGTTGCTGGTGCCAAATCATAATTTTGACTTTTTTTATTTATGCGTTCACCTAAGAGTCTTCTTAATTTCCAGATACTTCATTCAAAACTCAATGGAAATATAGAAGCTGAACAACTGACTAACAGAATCAAGTCTGCAATACTATATAGGGGTTCAATTTTGACTTGTGATTCTCGGTTATGTGGGTATGACATTGCAACCTGCTTGGAGGTAATTGGTTCCTCTTCTAGTGATGGTTACACAGCTTTCCAGATTTCAGTTTTTCTTCACTTTGTTTCATGAAGTATTTGCGTAAAAATGCTTGTGTACCTTATATCCATCCCAAAAATGAGATCTATGGTTGGTTATATCATTCTTTTTTATTGAGCGCAGTGGTGGGGCTAGGATTTTTACCAAGGGAATTCAAAATATTAAAAAGTAAACACACAAACAAGCCAAGGGGATTTAACATCTACTATTTATGCATAAAAACAATTTTAACCTTATATACAGTGTAATTTTTTGGCGAAGGAAGTTTAGGGATGAACTCCCTTCCGCCACCCTAGCTCCACCCCTGGTTGAGCGGATCAGTGAACTTAGTGTCTGGAGATGATCTGTCAACGAGATTGCCGTAGAATGGTTTAATATGTTATTTTATCCACACAAAAAAATTGTCGTAGATGGTTTAGTATGTTAGATGTCATATATTAGTATTTGAGTTCAGAAGGTAGATATTATGGACCAATAAAACAAAATGTGATTAAAAGTGTTCTGTGGGATAAAGTAGTTTCTGAAGCTTGTCATTATATAAGTTGGAGACTGGTGTAAGTGAGATATTGAAACTTTTATGCATTTGATTTGAAATAGACGTCAGACTGATTTTTCTGTAGCCTTCACATGAATTTGCAGAGATAGACACATTGATTCACATACCAGAAGAGCATAGTGCTACTACTCGTTAATAAAGAGTGTAAGAGTGCAAATAATAATTTTTCATTCTGAGTTTGTGTAATGGGTTGCTAGATCATATGCTATAGTTCTAACCCTTTGTAATGAAATATATTGGAGCGTGTGTTCTTGATCTTTATGAGTGGTAAGTTTGGTCCATTTTAGCTTCAGTTGGAATAAAGATATGACAATGATATTTTCAAGTTGCATGTTAGGGTCTATCCACTTAGTAAATTATCTGTTTAGTTAAAAGAGTTTTGCCTTGCTAGGGAGACTAGTGATGCATATGATGGTTCGAAGTTCTTTATTGGCACTTATTGACCGAATTAAGTATGAATTATCTGGCACCTTTTCCTTCGTGTTTTTTCTCTTTGTGACTTATTTCTCTTTATTTTTCAATGTATTTCTCTTTATTCCCATCATTTAAGTGGTCTTGCCTTTATTCGTGATATATTGCTATAGAGTTTTTGAGATAGGTTTCTTCAGTTATTGATGATCCTAGGTTGATACATTTTGTCAGCTCGGGTGGTTGAATGAGACTTTGCTTTTCTGCAGTTATATATCCATCATTCTGTCTTTTCTTTGTTCCATAGAATCTGTAAAAATTAGATCATCTATTGATCGTGATAGATGGGAATTTTGATCAACTATAGGTGATTGAACACATGGAGGAACATGAAGCGTGCTTGTTTGGCGATATCGTGCTCAGTTCATTTTGTCCACAGATTCTTATAGTCTCCACTCCCAATTATGAGTACAATGTGATTCTCCAGAATTCTTCTCCTCAATACCAGGAAGAGGATCCAGATGAGAAGAGCCAGCAGCAATCTTGCAAATTTCGCAATCACGATCACAAATTCGAGTGGACTAGACAGCAATTTTGCCAATGGGCATCTGAGCTAGCTTTAAGGCATAATTATGATGTTGAGTTCAGTGGAGTTGGCGGAGAGCCTAACAAAGAACCAGGATTTGCCTCCCAAATTGCTGTCTTTAGAAGAAAAGATGGCAGTCCCGCGAATGCAGACTTTACTAAACACTTTGATGTTATTTGGGAATGGAGTAGCAGCAGTAATTCAAGATCCTAACTGTAGATGCTTTCTAACAAACTCATTTTTTGCTGCATCTTAACTGTAGATGCTCTCTAACAAACTCATTTTTTGGTTAGTCATGTCGATTTCAGAAGTTATAGAAGTCTGCTCCTCCATTCATACCTCTTCTTTTCCCCCTTCTAAATGGAAGATTTGCTCATAATTTCTTTTGCTTATACTAAGTGCTGACTGTTCTAGAAAATCATACTTAGTATTCCTTACCTAAATGCGCAGAAATATCTACTTACTAGGTGCAAAATGATACTAGTTGTTTGAAGAAGAAAAATACGGTACTCCTAACTCATGGTTTAACATTTATGCTTGAGTTTTAGTTTTGTTCGGTTTTCCTTTCACCTTCACTTGTAGAGATGGCCTGTTGTGAGGTCATACTCATGGTTACAGACTCGTCCGCGTGGAGAAGTTTCTGTTCATCGATAGGAACAATCTCTTTGTGCTTGTACCAGTTGGCCCAAAAGACATAGTTCCCAAAGTTGAGCAAGCTGAGGATTGCTAGGAAGAACCAGTAGAAAAGTTCGATATGGTTCTTGTTCATGTCTCTCCATTGAAGCCATCCTTGCTTGTTGGAAGTGAGCTCTGAAGTGATTGTGTTGATGAGCTCAACAAAAGCTGAGCTCAAGTAGTAGCCAATGGAGAACGATAGAAACGAGAAGGAAGTCTAGAGAGATCTCATCCCAGCTGGGGCCTCGCTGTAGAAGAATTCCATCAGCCCAACGAGCGTGAACATGTCTGCTATCCCGAAGATTGCATAATGAAAGGAGAACCAGAAAAGGCTGGTCCGATGGTTATGTTGGTTGAACTCGTTCTTCCTCTTCACTTCCATGGCCCCTGCAATAGCCATGGACATAGCTGAGAGGACAAGTCCTACGCCAACTCTCTGAAGGTGAGTTATTCCATTCGTGTGGCCAGTGAACATCCTCATTACAGGAACAAAGAGGAACTCGTAGATGGGAATGAGGACGGACATGAATACAAGAGGAATGACTGGAATTGAAGCAGCAGGTACGTCAAACTTGCCAAGGCTAGGGTCCATTAGTGTACCTTGTTGCACTGAGATTGTTTGTAGCTGTGCCAAACATGTGTTCATGAGGATAGTACTTAGGAGGATTGGCATCATCCTTGTTAGGATTCACTACTTCTACTTGAGTGACAGTACAAAGCCTCCATTTTCCTTGCTTATTTTGGTGCCTTGCATTTCAACCGCAGCTTTGTCTAGTACTCTATTCATGATTCAGATGACAACATAAGATTAGCATGATTATATAAACCCCTTTGATTTAATTTATGTTCTTGCATTGAACATGATAAACTTGCCTGAATTGGTGGGTATGAGAAAGACGTTGTCCAGTTAAAAGAGAAACAGAGTTTGGGTCGCGCATCTCATATCAGTTGGTAGTTGCACAGACCAATTTCGAGCTGCTGCCACCAAAACATGCAAAAAATGCTGCTTAAACCGTACTCTTTTGCTAGCCAAAAAAAGATAACAAGTTCCATAAGTTTTTTATGTTTCTGTTAAATTTCGTGCTTAGTCAAATTACGTCACATAAATTTGTAACTGAAGCGGGAGCAAAAGGAGTACGAGCTCACCTGTAAAACTCTAAGCAAGGGACTTTCTCCTGTAAAAATGCTTTCCCAAAACAAGGCAGCAAAACAGCAAAGGGTGGAAATAATAAACCCTTTTATCCCATCCTACATTTGTACTGACCCAAACCACAACAGATGCTCCAATAGTTATGCTTAACAATAACCAGTCTACATAGTAGTGTCCAAAAAAGAAGACGAATAGTCACTAACATTGGGCATCTTCTGTAGCTAGAATTTAACATTATTAGAAGTTCAGGAATATGGTCAATTTGGTCTCGAAGTTATTACTTTATCAAGCTTTTTGGTTTTTGTGATATTTAGCTTATCATATTTAACAATTAGTTAAACATAAGTGCCATTTTGTTCCCTAACCAAATTAAATATACATGGTCCATCGGATTGGCTTTCCGTAGTACCTTGAATTACTTGATGTTTAATTTCTACTATCCCTTATTCCTTTAGCAAAAGCTTGAAAGCACCGATTCCTATAACATGGAGGGATAAATACCGAATTATCGCATCGAAAATTTTGGTATATGATATTCGGTAGTTTGGTATTTTGTATGGTATTTGGTTTACGTTTTTTAAATAATTTGGTATTAGATATGGTATTTGATATTTAAAAAAATAATAACAAAATATTGATATCGTACCAAAATATATACTAAATTACACATTAAAGATATTATTGATCAATATACTAAGTTACACAATATTTTTCTTTGGCATTCATGTTGAGGTTGACCGTAAAACCCATGTACTTCTTTAGGAAAATGGAGGATGGAGATTCCAATTCTTACTCTCTAGGTTGCCAAGCAGTTTAACGTAATATTTCAATGATTTTGGGGTGTTTCTTACTCAGTTACTCCTGTATTGTTGTTGCATATGTTGGATTAGTCCTTATTGTATTCTCTAACATGATATTTTCAATGATAAAATGTATATCCTTTATGTACCTTTTTTCTCTTAGTTGTAACTTTTTTTTTCGAAATCGGAAAATAAGTAAATTGGTCGTAAAAGTCAAAGAAAATATTTCTGACAAGGGAAATAGTGGTCCCACAGCAAATATATAACAATTCCGACCGATTTCGGTCGGAAATTGGCCAACATTTGACCAACACCTAGTCATACTTGTATATTATCTACAAAAATAATTTTTAATTAAAAATTTTCAAATATACCGACCGATTTCGGTCGGTAAATTTGAAATTATACTTTCCCGCCCAAGGCAATTGGTTTTTAATATAACAAAAAAATTTTATATATATATATATACTATACTATACTATATGTGCATCTTATATAGTTTATGTACTATACACTTTATATATATATATATNCCTTGGAAAAATATTTTTTTATTAAAAGTTTTCAAAAATTCCGACCGATTTCGGTCGGAATATTTGAAATTATGCTCTTGTCCCACATCGGTTGAAAGATGTGAGCTTTTTCATCTTATAAGTTGAGCTTTGATGCCATAGAGTCCAACAGCCGTGGACTAATAAAAAATAAACAAATATAGGAAGGGTTGTAATTAGTGCTTAGTAATAAGATTTAATATTCTATATTTAGAATTAGAATTTAATAAAATAATAATGATAATATATACTAGTACTAATTAGTAATATAGTAATAAGATATAATATTGTTGTGCTATGATATCTCGAGTTAGGGAGTTTACATGCGATACAAAAAAATATATATATCTAGAAGATTTCTAAAATTATTATATATTTAAAACTTCGACCGATTTCGATCGGTATTTTGAAAAATAAATAAATAAAGATTTAGTTATATATGTAGTTTGGTATTTGAAAAATAAATAAAAAAAGATTTAGGTAATACCGACCGATTTCGGTCGGTATATGTAGTTTAGTTGTCAGCCAACGCATTGAACTAACCGACCGTTTTCGGTCGGAAAATTTCGACTGATTTCGGTCGCAACACTTTAGCGACCATCATTTTTCCGACTAATTAAAAGCAGTCGGAAATCGATCGGTTTTTCTCAAATTCCGACCGATTCCGGTCGGTTTTCCTGGACGAAATTAGCCAGTTTTTTAGTAGTGTGGTTTTGGACAAAGATTTTGTCAACAATCAGGTTAGTTTAGAACGTTTTCATTGAGTACTTTAATTAAGAATATTACAGTCTATAGCTCTATGCACTAGTTAATATTCAAATCGAATAAACCGAAATTAACGAACCGAATAAATCGAAACCGGAAGGAGAAAAGCCGAATCATACCGAATGTAATTAGGTATGATATTAATATAGCATTTTAAGAAACCGTATACCGAAAATAATGAACCGAAATGACTAAATATCGTACCGGACCGACCGATGAACATCCCTAATAACATGTCCCAAAAAGTGAAAAAGAATTTTCCGTGAATTTTATTTCTTATCTGCTTTTTTATTTCTAACATCAAATCATCGGAGTTTAACTTTGATGAGAAAGGGCTAACTTTTTTCCTTTCTGGGCTCGTGTTTCTCTTAAATTTTGAGAAGAATTCCAACATTGCGGTGGCGCGCATTTGGGCTAGAAAATTAGAATAATAATGTTTTGTTGTGTTAGTCCGTAGTAGATATATTTCAATTGGCTGATGCAGCCCGCACTTTGAAAATCTTGCCTTTCGAAAACTCCAAAGGGCCAAATATACCTTTTTATTTTCGAAAATGGTCTAAAAATACCCCTCGTTATACTATTGGGTTATCTATACCCCTACGGTCATACTTTGGTTCAAATATACCCCTCATTTAAACGGAGTGATACGTGTCATCGTCCTGTTGGTCAATTCTAAATATCTTCTAATTAATTAAAAAACTCATCAATCATACCCGGAAAATAATTTTTTAAAGCAATCTTTTTGGAAAAATTGAAAAAAACTGAAATTATTTTTACTAAAAACTGAAAAAAAACGATAATATTTTTTTTTCCAGTTTTTACAAAAAAACTGCTTTAGAAAAAACTGAAAAATATTTTCTAAAACAATGTTTTTGAAAAAACTGAAAAAGAAAAAGCTGAAAATCAATTTTTTAAAGCAATTTTTTTTTGTAAAAACTGAATTTTTTTTTACTAAAAACTGAAAAAAACGAAAAAAAAATAAAAAATTCCAGTACTGCTTTAAAAAAAGCTGAAAAATATTTTCTAAAACAATATTTTTTGTAAAAACTGAAAAAAAACTAAAAAGCAAATTTCTAAAGCAGTTTTTTTATAAAAACTGATAAAAGAAATATTTTCTTTTTTTTATCAGTTTTTAGTTAAAAATAATTCAGTTTTTTTCAGTTTTTAATTGCTTTAGAAAATTATTTTTCAGTTTGTTTTTTCAGTTTTTACAAAAATATTATTTTAGAAAATATTTTTCAGTTTTTTTAAAGCAGTTTTTTGTAAAAATTGGGGGAAAAAAATATTTTCGTTTTTTTTAATTTTTAGTACAAATGTTTTTTTAGTTTTTTCCAGTTTTTACAAAAATATTATTTTAGAAAATATTTTTCAGTTTTTTTAAAGCAGTTTTTTGTAAAAATTGGGGGAAAAAAATATTTTCGTTTTTTTTAATTTTTAGTACAAATGTTTTTTTAGTTTTTTCCAGTTTTTACAAAAAAAAATATTATTTTTCGGGTATGGATAATGAGTCTTTTTAATTAATTAGAAAATATTTAGAATTGACCAACATGACGATGACACGCGTCCCTCTGTTTAAATGAGGGATATATTTGAACCCAAAGTATGATTGCAGTGGTATAGATAACTCAATAGTATAACGAGAATTATTCGTAGACCATTTTCGAAAGTATAGGGCTATATTTGGCCCATTTCTTTAACCAAATAATATATTACAAAGTTCCAGGAAGTTGCTGCCGAAAGTGGCACAAGATTTCTCTATATATAAAAATAATTGCCTTGTATGTATTAAAATACATAAGCTTCTGTCTAGCTAGCGTCAGAGATGTTGAATCCTCTCGTTTATAGAAAGTCAAAACACGGCAGTTCACCATATATTTGTGTGCAATGATAAGATCTCAAGACTATGCTTTATAGGCTATAGCAATATTACAAATTAGTAACAGGTTATTTGTAGTGCTTTAATTCCTTAAATGGAGAATGAGAGAAAACCTCTTCATATAGTTATGTTCCCATGGCTAGCCATGGGACATATTATACCTTTTTTCCATTTATCAAAGTGCTTAGCACAAAGAGGCCACAGAGTAACTTTCATTTCCACTCCAAGAAATCTTGAGAGATTAGGTAAGGTTCCCTCTGATCTTACTCCCCTACTAAATATAGTTAGCATTCCTTTGCCTAAAGTAGAAAACTTACCAGATCAGGCTGAATCCTCAATGGACATACCTTATCAAAAAGCTCAGTTCTTGAAAATTGCTTTTGATTTGCTCGAAACTCCGTTAATCACTTTTCTTGAAAATTTATCAAACCCAAAACCAGATTGGATTGTTTATGATTATGCATCTCACTGGCTACCTCATCGTGCACGCGACTTAGGCGTCTCGTGTGCTTTCTTTAGTCTCTTTACAGCTGCAACTATGGCCTTTTTTGGACCTCCTCGGGCTTTGCTTAATGATGAAAGGTCAATCCCTGAAGATTATACAGTTGTTCCGAATTGGATTTCTTTCGAAACGGACGTTAAATATCGGCTGCACGAGATAAAGAAGAACTTTGAAGCACCAGCAAATGAGTCAGGTA